GTGTCACACCTGTCACCCCCGTGTCATCGCCATTGACCAGCGAGAACAGGCACTCGGACACCATGGAGAGTGACCGGAACTGGGGACAGGGACAGCAGTGTCACCAGAGTGTCACCAGTGTCACCAGAGTGTCACCTGTCACACCTATAACCCCAGTGTCACCCCCGTGTCATCACCATTGACCAGCGAGAACAGGCACTCGGACACCATGGACAGTGACCGGAACTGGGGACAGGGACAGCAGTGTCACCCCAGTGTCACCAGTGTCACCAGTGTGTCATCTGTGTCACCAGTGTCACACCTATAACCCCCGTGTCATCGCCATTGACCAGCGAGAACAGGCACTCGGACACCATGGACAGTGACCGGAACTGGGGACAGGGACAGCTGAGTGTCACCAGAGTGTCACCAGTGTCACCTGTGTCACACCTATAACCCCCGTGTCATCGCCATTGACCAGCGAGAACAGGCACTCAGACACCATGGAGAGTGACCGGAACTGGGGACAGGGACACCTGAGTGTCACCAGTGTCACCAGTGTCACCAGAGTGTGATCTGTGTCACCAGAGTGTCACCAGTAACCTCAGTGTCACCCCCGTGTCATCGCCATTGACCAGCGAGAACAGGCACTCGGACACCATGGACAGTGACCGGAACTGGGGACAGGGACAGCTGAGTGTCACCCCAGTGTCACCAGAGTGTCACCAGTGTCACCAGAGTGTCACCTGTGTCACACCTATAACCCCAGTGTCACCCCCGTGTCATCGCCATTGACCAGCGAGAACAGGCACTCGGACACCATGGACAGTGACCGGAACTGGGGACAGGGACACCTGTGTGTGACCAGAGTGTCACCTGTAACCTCAGTGTCACCTGTGTGTCACCTACAGTGCAATTTGGGAACCTCCCAACCCCAAAATGGAATTTCAGAAGGAACCCAACCCCAATCCTGGATTTTGGGATAGCCCCGCCCACCTTGCCGTGGTGCAGCCCCAGCACGATCCCATATTTTGGGATCATCCCAACCCCAATCCCGGATTTTGGGATGGCCCTAATCCCGGATTTTGGGATGGCCCCAATCCCATATTTTGGGATGGCCCCAATCCCATATTTGGGATGGCCCCAATCCCATACTTTCCCCACCTTGCCGTGGTGCGGCCCCAGCACGATCCCATATTTTGGGATGGCCCCAATCCCGTATTTTGGGATGGCCCCAATCCCATATTTTGGGATGGCCCCAATCCCAATCCCATATTTTGGGAACACCCCAATCCCATATTTTGGGATGGCCCCAATCCCATATTTTGGGATGGCCCCAATCCCGGATTTTGGGATGGCCCCAATCCCATATTTTGGGATATTTTGGGATGGCCCCAATCCCATATTTCCCCACCTTGCCGTGGTGCGGCCCCAGCACGATCCCGGATTTTGGGATGACCCCAATCCCAATATCAGGATTTTGGGATGGCCCCAATCCCGTATTTTGGGATGGCCCCAATCCCATATTTTGGGATGGCCCCAATCCCGTATTTTGGGATGGCCCCAATCCCATATTTTGGGATGGCCCCAATCCCGGATTTTGGGATGCCCCGCCCCAATCCCAAATTTTGGGATGCCCCGCCCACCTTCCCATGGTGCGGCCCCAGCACGATCCCATATTTTGGGATGGCCCCAATCCCCGGATTTTGGGATGGCCCCAATCCCATATTTTGGGATATTTTGGGATGGCCCCAATCCCAATCCCATATTTGCCCACCTTCCCATGGTGCGGCCCCAGCACGATCCAGCCGCAGAAGCAGTAGCCCAGGTAAATGACGGCCACGCAGCAGCAGAAGCGAATCACGCTGGGCAGCGCCACGCGCAGAGTCACGATCAGGATCTGGAAACGGGGAAAAAAATGGGAATTGAAAATGGGAATTAATTAAAAATGGGAATTAAAAATGGGAATGAAAAATGGGAATGAAAAATGGGAATGAAAAATGGGAGAAATGGGGATTGTCAATGGGAAAAATGGGAATTAAAAATGGGAACAATGGGGATTGTCAATGGGAACAATGAGGATTAAAAATGGGAATTAAAAGTGGGAAAAATGGGAATTAAAAATGGGAAAAATGGGGATTAAAAATGGGAATTAAAAATGGGAATTAAAAATGGGAATTAAAAATGGGAAAAATGGGAATTGTCAATGGGAAAAATGGGAATTAAAAATGGGAATTAAAAATGGGAACAATGGGAAAAATGGGAATTAAAAATGGGAATTAAAAATGGGAACAATGGGGATTAAAAATAGGAATTAAAAATGGGAAAAATGGGAAAAATGGGGACTAAAAATGAGAAAAACGGGGATTGTCAATGGGAAAAATGGGAATTGTTAGTGGGAACAATGGGAAAATGGGAATTGTCAATGGGAACGTCAGAAATTGTCAATGGGAAAAATGTCCCTGTCCCTGTCCCCAATGTCCCCACTGTCCCCAATGTCCCCACTGTCCCCAATGTCCCCAGTGTCCCCAGTGTCCCCAATGTCCCATTGTCCCCAATGTCCCCAATGTCACTCACGTTGTATTTCCTGAAGAAGGTCAGGTAGCGGATGACGCCCACCCACACCAGCAGGGTCGATGTCCCCAGCAGGATGCTGCACACGTCATAGTCCGAGAAATTCTGGGGGGACACGGGGACAGTGCCACCACTGTGTCCCCAGGGATGGGTGGCAGTGTCCCCGAGTAGTGACAGTGTCCCCAAGGGTGGTGGCAGTGGCCCCAGAGGTGCCAGTGTCCCCAGGGGTGGCAGTGTCTGCAGATGGTGGCAGTGTCCCCAAGGGTGCCAGTGTCCCCAGGGAGGGTGGCAGTGTCCCCAGGGGGTGGTGGCAGTGTCCCCTGACCCCAGCCCATTGTCCCCAGAGGGTGGTGGCAGTGTCCCCAAGTAGTGGCAGTGTCCCCAGGGGTGTTGGCAGTGTCCCCAGATGGTGGTGGCAGTGCCCCAGGGGTGGTGGCAGTGTCCCCAAGGGTGACAATGTCCCACCTTGGCCTCGATGCC